CTGGGAGAACAGAAGAGGGTATTAGATACCCTAGAAGTGAAATTATATAGTTGTCAGCTGCCTTTGGATTCTAAGAATTCTGTCTTCTGGAAGAGCTCTTAACCACTATGGAACCATCTCCATTGCCTGTCTTGTTGGGTTTTGTTTCTGCTTGTTTTCACAGTCTCCATATTAGTCCCGATCTCTGTCTCAGGATGAGCATCACCTCACCTAGGTTATCTGATTTGAGACAGGGTCTCCCTCTGTAGCTTAGGCTGGCCTGGACGTCACCCTGCAACCCTAGATTGCCTCTGAGCCACTACTCACCCACTCTCACCCTGTCCTACAGGCTTTTGTATTCTTAAAACAGGAGCTAGCCTGGTGAGGTGATGATGCACGCCTTCAGTCTCAGCAGGAGACTGGAGCAAGGGAGGCAGGAGCAAGGAGATCTCTATGAATTCAAGGCCAGCCTGGTCTACATAGGAAGTTCCAGTCTTTCCAGAGCTACTGAATGAACCCTGTCTCAAAAAACAAAAACAAAAAGAAGGGGGCTAAGGAGAAGGTTCAGTGGTTAAGAGCACTTGTTTCTTTTGCAGAAGATCTGAGTTCAATTCCCAGCACCCACATGGAGGTTCATACTCATCTGTAATTCTAGTATCTAGGATCTGAGACTTTCTTCTGTTCTCCATGGGTATCAAGCACACACACACACACACACACACACACACACACACACACACACACACACACAAGTTCTATTTTGCATGCACATATAGAAGCAGAACACATAAAATTAAATGAATATAAATCTAATAAGATTTTTTAAAGCCAAAAAGGAACATGCCTGCATTCAGGAGGCAGAAGCAGGGTAATTCCTGAGTTCAAGGCCAGCCTGGTCTATATAGACCCTGTCTCAACAACAAAAAACAAAACAAACAAAAACAGGAACAGGAGCTGAAGATACAGAAAGCAGTTTCACTCATGGCTTAGATGCCAAACAAGTATCCTAAGAGCAAGAACAAACACTCAAGTTTTCTGTTTGCTTTTCACTCCATTTCATGCCAAGAGACTGAATGTGGTAGCATTCAGATTCCTGGATTCAGGACTGAGAACATTTGAAGGCCAGTTCAACAGCCATTTCTTGTTGCCTGACTCCTGAATCATGCCCTGGCCTAGCTCTGCTGGGTGGATGACAGACTCCTGCAGATTGGTCAAGGCTCAGATAGAATGGAAGGCAGGCAGGGTGGGTTGCTTTAACTAATAAGAGCATGGGTGTCTGGTTCCTCTTAGTATGAGGCACTGTTGGAATAAGTGTCTGCTGATAAAGCAAATTCACAAGGATCGATGCCCATTCATGTGCTGTGAGAAGAGATACAGGCTTGCTTGATTTGATGGAGGATTCCAACATTGCTACTGGAATGCTTCTGGAAGTCCAGGACCTGGGCCTGTGAACATCAAGCTAGCTTCCAGACCTTTTCTTCAAGATTCTGCGAGAATCTGGCAGCATCTTAGAGAAGGGCTTTGGTACTGGGAGCAAGTACAGACCAACAACTAAGAGACTAAGTATTTTTTTCTGGCCAAGAGAATCAATTGCACACAATTGAAGGGCCAGAATAGTCTCCCTCTCCTGCCAAATCTCCAGGCCAGTGTCACATGTGCTCACATGCACTTTGGCATCCATGCATGCACATACAGATCTAGACTCCTTTTGTATTTTACTACCTTTTAGCATGTCTCCTAAGCTCCTTGTCTGTCTCTCACAATCTGTATACCCCCAGGGCTTTCTCTTCATAGAACTGTAGATAGGTGGTTTATCACCTGCCTCCTGCCTTGCCAATTTAGTAGAGAAGCTTGGTGTGATTGTGCACACCTGTAACCCTGCATTTGGGACAGAAGCAGAAAGATTGCCTCAAGTTTGAGGCCAGCCTGGATTGTGTAAGAAGTACCAGACCAGCCACGGCTACAGAGTGAGGCCCTATGAATGAGACCCTATCTCAAAACAAAAAATCACAAATTGATGAATAGATCTTGCCCTCTGGCTTAGAGTTGGTGGGGGTGGAACAAATCCCCATTATCTCTGGATAAAGAAGGCAATAGGAGTTGCTCCCAGGCTGTCTCAGAACCCCCACCAGTATAGGTCCGTACAGGTGCAAGATGTAAGGGAAAAGAGACAAAAAGAATCTCTTCCGGCAGCAGGAAGTGGTAACTACCTATGGGGAAATGAGGCTAGTTGTTTCCTTTCTGGCTTGAGTAGAAGGGGAACTGTAGCTGAACCCTGCTCCCTCCCCCTCAGGAGGCCTAGGGGGAACTCAGGCCTGCAGTCTTCTGGGGAACTTCCAATCAGCTGTCTGGACTCCCTTAGGGCTCACTCAGGGCTGTGACTACAGGAAGGAGGGTGGCATCTGATGTCCAGAGAGGCTTGGGGGAGTCAGGCGGCCTAGGGGACGTCTTGGGCTTGGAGCAGTTATGGTGCCATTGCCCACAAGTGTTGAGGGTCAGTGGCCATAGGGGTATGTATGGTCTGACATTGGGGACCACAGATAGCTTTCTGCAGACAGTGAGAAACTGAAGCATGTGGTCCCAGGCATGTTGTGACTCTCTTACATTGGCTGCTTCGTGCTGAGTCTTAGGGCTCAAGGTGATCTAGGTAGATGAGAAGAGGAAGAAGGGAGACAGCCTGCCTGAAGAGCTCTGTGCCTGGGAAGGGATGTCTTGTCCTGAGTTCCATCCCAGGCAGCAGGCAGCTCTGGGTCCAGGTCGCCCCGCCCCACGAGAGACCGTGCTGGGGACGGGGCGGGGCGGGGCGGAGCTGGCAGATGGTGCTGGCCTTGGCGCCCCAGTCCCTGTGCTCCGTTGTCTCGCTTCATCGCAGCCTCGTGGGAGCATCGGGACTCGAAGGCGCGATCAGGCCTCGGCCATGGCGGCGCACGGGAAGCTGCGGCGGGAGCGGGGGCTGCAGGCTGAGTATGAGGCACAAGTCAAAGGTGAGAGGGCGCTTCAGGCCTGGTGTACTGCGGAGACCCCGAGTGTCCGCTGCCGATCCTCAGATAACCCCCCGGAACTGGGTGGAGCAGAAGCACAAGGCTCTGCTTCTTGGAGCTTCTTTGGCCCCTCAACTGCCTGTCCATGCCCTACCTCCTGCTTCTCTGCTCAACTTGGGTCGCCTGCTGCTTACTCAGACAGCAATGACTCTGGTAGCCTGAGGGATGGGCAGACTGAAGGTGGCTTTCAAGCTGGAGTATAATGAGCCACCTTGACTTTGCTGTTGGCCTAACACCTCACTGTTAACACCACTACAATCTATGAAGCCTTAGTACCTTCTCCTCCCTTTGGCACTGAAGTAACTTGCAGGTTTGGGTTGTTGGCCCTGGCTAACAGACTCAATGTGGGATAGAAAAATTCAACTGGGCTGACTTTACAGCCTTAGGCTATTAGACCTCTGGGTTCTGACAAACAAGTCCATGTAAATCATATGCAAATGAGCTTTGTAAGTTCTTAGCGGACAGCTTCATTACTTCAGGGTGTGGTAAGTAACTCTTTAACAGGAAAGGAGGCAGCATCTAACACCTCCCCCTCCTCAGTTTCTTGTTGCTTCCAGATATATAGATTCCCATTATCACTCTCAATGGCTCTATATTTTGCCTATTGTGGATACAAGCTCAGAGAAGCAGTGTGATATAGCACAACAGGTCCCGAGAAGAGAAATGAAATGACCTTTAGAATTTTCCGACCTGTAGTTGAAATTCCAGTGTACGTACTTGGTGCAAGCAACTTATACCAAAGTATGTCTTAGTGATGTGTTGCTGCTGTAGTGCTGAACATAGGTGCCTCTGGACACACTCATCGTGGTGTCCAGAGCCAGCTTGAGGTGACTGCAGAGGGTGACAATGATCCCATCCTACTTCCCCAAAATGCCAACCAGCAGCTGGGTGGTGGTGATGCACGCCTTTAAACCCAGCACACTGGGAGACAGAGGCAGGCAGGCAGTTCTCTGAGTTCAAGGCTAGTCTGGTCTACAGAGAAAGTTCCAGGACAGCCAGGAATACAGAGAAACCCTGTCTCAAAACAAACAAAAATTGTCCTGAAGCCCAAGGACCTTGAAAAATCTTCAATCACTTCAATCAGCAAACCCAGGCCAGCTAGTTCCCACCAAGAACCTGGAGTTTGGCACAAGAGTGTCCAGCTTTTGTAACTTTTTATTTCTCATGGTCCTCCCTCAAAACAACAACAACAACAAAAAACCAACCAAACAAACAAACAAACAAACAAAAAAAAAAAACAGGTCTTCCAATTGTCCTGGAAGAGCAGCATTGTCTTGACACTTTAAATTCTGAAAGGTCAGCATAGTCGCGGTTTGGAGGCCAGCTAGTCTACTCCACTGGTCAGCAGAAGTGAGAGTGAATGCCTGGCTCACAGGAAGCCTGGAGGGGCCTGGGTCCCAGCTTTGCAATGCAAATATGCAGGCTTTCTTACACCTTTTTGTCAGCTGTTCTTTTGTTTGTTTGGGTGGGTAGGTGGGACTGGAGCTTAGTATGTAGCCCAGGCTAATCTTGAACTCATTATTTTACTCAATCTGGTCTGTAATTTGCAGCAACCTCTGCCTCAACCTTCCAGGGCCGGGATGCCAACCTTTGCTACCACACCCAGGTGCCAGATCTATGTATAAATCTATGTTTGCTGTGGATTCTGGAAACAATCTTATTTTATAGAAGAGAAACAGTCCTTGGTGGTTCACAGGTCTGAGGAGAGAAAAATTGCACACAGCTGATTTCATGTATGGTAAAGGACTGCAAAGGACGGCCAAGGTGCCAAGAACACACTGGGGCCAGACAAGGGCCAGAGTTAGTTTGGTAGGAGATCAGGGTTGTTAAAGCAGAGATCTGAAAGCTCTGCCATGGCACAACCTGGAGACTGACTTGGGACAGCAGTTTCCAACCCTCTGTGGACCTCAGATGCAACTGGCTTGCAGTCTATAGCTCTGTGATGCCGGCTGGTGTACATGTTCTAAACCAGAGGTGCTGTTGCTGCTGGTGGAGAATCCACGAGGTACTGTGGTCTGCACTTGGCATTGTGTAGCCATAATAGGTCCCTCCTTTTGCCATTCTTGAAACCCTATTATTGTCATTTAGTGAGGACTCCCCTGATTGACATCAGTAGCATTAGCACTCATCCTTACCAGTGGCTGGCACACATTACTTCCTTAGGGGGCTGGTGACAGTGACACTTGGTATTGTGGCCTTTACTTTAGCTTCAGTGTTGGGAGTTTCCACATACACACACACACACACACACACACACACACACACACACACACACGCACGCTTCCTTCTGCCTAACTTGTCCCTTTGTTGGAAAGTTAGCAATTCCAGTGACCACATTAAGGGTATGCCCCAAAGCCCACCAGAGACAGTCCAGTGGGTGATGTGGAAGGCTAATGAGTAGGTCATGCAGGCCTCTGGTTCTGGAGCACCTGGAGTTAGGAAAAGAAGTAAGTCCCACTGTAGAGTGGAGTCTGAGAGCAGGCAGGGGACATACTGAAAAAGGAAATCAGAAGGGGAAATGGGGAGGTCTGGGCTGGAGATACCTAAGGAGGCCTTTCCTCTCATAGCCCCGGGAAAGTCACTGTCAAGAACGAAGTCCATCCATTCTGATCTCTTCACAGTGGATTTCTTTTGAACAGCTACTCTGGGGCTTGCCTTTCAGACTGGCTCCCTGGTCCAAGTGCCCACTCTTTTCCTTAGATAAGTAAAGTAGCTGCCCTTTGGGCTCACAGTAGCCAGAGGGACCCTGAAAATGAAATGAGTCCATAGGACTCTACCCCTTGACTTATCTCTTTTCTGGCATCCAGCTGGAATCTGAAACCACAAGATTTTAGTCATCTGCTCCCCTCCTTTCCATTCTACCATGGCTCTTTTCCCCCACTATGGCTCCAGCTCCAAAAGAGCAGGCATTGTCTAGAATATGCCTGGAATGAAATAAATGTGAAGTCACCATTCTACTAAATGAAGAAATCA